CAGGTCCCCTAGAACTGGAGTTACTGGCGTTTTATTTTATAATTGCTGTTAGAATATGGAATGTAACTGATTTTTATCATACCCTGTGACATTGATAAATTCCCTTATTCTGAAAGTTAGTTTGTGGCGTGTTCAAGATTTTCTACATAATTCACCATGAAACCGTACCAGAAAAACCTTGTTGCCAACTTCATGGTTTTGTTTACCATTTCTGCTCTGGAGCCATCCAGTAGTCAATGCCCAAAAGTCAGACCCATGGCCTGATCAGCTGCCCTCAGCCCAGGCCTGCATCAGCCTCTTGAGAATCCTACGACCACAATTCTGCAGCCTACTTGAATACCTCCCCACTCCAAGAATGACTTTCTAGTGTGTACAAGCATATGATATAAGCTGTTTTTATTTCACACACACACACACACACACACACACACACACACACAAAATGGTCACACCAGGCATGGTGGCACATGCCTTTAATGCCAGCACTTGGGAGGCAGAAACAGGCAGATCTCTGTGAGTTTGAGGCCAGTCTGGTCTACATAGAGAGTTCTAGGCCAGCTGGGGCTACAGGGAGACCCTGTCTCAAAGCAGAAATGGTCATAAAAATCTCCTATGAAGCAGGCTATGCATTAAAGGAATGGCCTCAAAGCAGCGGGAGGCTGCTGACTCGTGTCTTTTGGAACTTCTCAAACCCAGAACTGTGTTCTGCTCAGTGATGGCTAGTACCTTTTTTTTCCTTTTTTCCTTTTTTTTTGTTGTTGTTGTTGATTGTTTTTTTGACAGGGTCTCCCTCATCACAGACTGCCTGGAAGTCACAATGTGAACCAGGGTGGCCTTGATCTCACAGAGATCTGCCTGCCTCTGCCTCCCTAGGTCTGGAGTTAAAGACACACGACATCATGCCTGGCATCCAGTGCCCTTTTACACCAAACTTCATGGGTTTGTGGGTCGGAGCACAGTGCCCAGTGGGCTGTTTGGCTGATAGTGACTTGGAGCTCCCTGAGTTTTGACTACATCTCAGCAGCACACTTACAAGGAGAAAAGTGTTTCTAGAAGATATTTTTTCCAAATTCCAAGCATGTGTACCCTGAGTCACCCACAACAGGCATCTGAGATCTCTCAAGTACCACTGGTTGTGCCAGATGAGTGCCTCTCACAGCAAGGCAGCACTAGCTGCCCAGGCAGCATGGTAGAAATTCACGTCCTGTCATGTATCTGCTGCGTCTACATCTCAGAGGTGAGGCCCAGCTAACCACCTGTGCTTCTTGTGAAAGCCAAAGTGTATCCAGGAGAGCGTGCTGAAGCTTGAGAGCCTCACTAGGTCACATGGTCTTTGGGACAACAGCTTTCAGCCTAGAACCCATCCTGCTGTGGTCTGTTCAAAACTGAATAGCAAAGGGAAACCATGGTGAATGGTTGGTCGGCATGGCCACCAATGCTCTCTGCTGTCTCAGAAATCCACAGATGTTCCTGGGGACACACTTCCTCCTGAGCCACAGGACCACCAGGTGCAGGGGATTATCTTTTCTTTCAAGGAACATGTCAGCCGATCCCAAACCAAGCAGCACACAGAAACCACCAAGAGGCAACTGTTGGTCTTTCCTTTCCAGCTATTGATGTACAAATCTTACCACAGTCAAGTAGTTACCGTCTTAATCAGAGCAGCTATGATGACCTACAGCAAATCCTTCATAAGAGAGGGCTCGTTGGTGTTTTTCATAAAAGAAGGGCAAGCGGAGGTTTATTACACCCTCACCTGAGAGTCTAGCCACTCCGGCCTGTGCCCTCCCTCCCCATCTGTATGTGACCCTGTGCCATTATATAGGAGACTGGAGGCTTAACTGAAGGGAGAGACCCCATCTCTGTTGCTTTCAGGAGGCTGTCACCCAGATTGGGGTGGGATTTTTCAAGGATGCAGCTGTCTGGGGGGGTCACTCATGCTCTTGAAAGTACCCTTTCACCCATGGCTCTATAAGTGACCCCAGTAAACTCATTGGTTCACCAAGCTGGACTTGGGTGGAGTCATTTCTTTGATCTACTGTCAGGACCCTGACAAGGTCATGGCTGAGGAAAACTGCTCATCTAGTGACACCCAGGAAGCAGAAAGAATGCCTGCACTGCACGGGCTCTGTGTTTCTTCCTTTATCCCCTCCCGTGGGATGCTGCCACCCACCTTTGGGAAGATTTCCCCCTATTAGTTAATCCCTTCTGTAAATACCCTCACAGGCAAAGACACACAGTACTGATCTCCCAGGCACTCCTCAGTCCACTCAAGCTGACAATCCATTACACAGGCTAGAATCTGTGTTTATGTATCACGGCTTTGGCTTTTTCTCGGGCATCCCACAGCCACAACCTTGTGGCAGCACATGATTGGCAAGCCCCCTGCCAAACACAGAGAATATACACGTTGCCTTCTGAATGTCAGAAGTGAAGCAAGCTCCCAGACAGGATGCAAGCAATGCCCGCAGAGGCTGTAAGCGCACTCAGTAGCCACAGGCTCTCGGTGGCCTCTGTGGCTGTGACTGGTCCCCAGGGAATGAGAGCCCAACCGACCAAGGACAGCAGAAAGCAGACGATGCTCTGTCACCCACCTGTTTCCATCCAGTACTCTGAGTCAACAGCTACAGAAGAGCTAAAGTGAGCTCCACATTCAGGCCAAAGTGGTGACATGCAAAGGTCAGCCATTCGATCAGGTTTAATCAGCTCAGCGCCCACCACACTGCATCTGACTGCACAAGCCCAGAAAGTGTTCCCGTGGCTGAGGGTGGAGACAGAGACACACTTAGCTCTCTGCCGTGTGTGGTGGGACTGCAGGTCCGGTCCCCATAGGTCTTTTCTCTGGGAATATGTAAAGTCCTTGGGTCCTAGTCGCATGATCAGGAGCCAGCTGTGGCAGCAATGAAGGGCTCCTGGATATAGGATGTTGAGCCCATGCAAGTGACATGTGATTACTCCATGTCACTCTGAGCTACACACTACTGACCTGGTGTATTTTGTCCGCAAGCCACCTGCCAGTACAAGATGTCCCCTTGCGCTGTGGTATTCCTTCCCTCACACCTCGGGTGTTATAGGCCATGATTTTGCATTCTCTGGGCTTGTAATTCCTTCCTCGTGGATTTATCTCTGTGTTTTACCCGCTGTCTGAGCCTGGGTCCTGCCTTACGTCCCTGTTTAAATGGCCTCCTTGTTATTTCAAGGGTCTCTTCCTTACTCTGCCACCTGTTCCCCTGACTGCTTCATTTGGGCCCACAGTGATCTCCTTTACCATTCTTGACACCAGAATATACTGAATGGGTGCAAGGAGGTGGCCCTCGGTGCATTTCAGTTTAGAGGTGGCACATTGCCACCTCCTGAAGTCCCTGTCATCAACCCAAGTGTCAAGGACTAAAACTCCCCCTGCCTGTCCCCATCTATGTATTGAGGTCATATCCCCTCATGAGATGCAATTAGGAGGAAGGTCTAAGGAGGGGATTAGGTCTCAAGTGTTCCACTTTAGAAATGTGACTGTGCCCTGGGAAGACCCTAGAGAACCTTCTATGTACCACTTGGGAGCAGCTCTCCCCAAACACCTGTCACTCTGGGGATCTGAGATTTACTAGGCTCTAGAGGAATAAATGTTTGCTGACAGAGCCTATCTATCCCTGTGGTGCTTCCTTGCAGCAGCTCCAGTGAACCAAGAGAGTCCATGGCCTTCTCACCTCCTTCTAATCAGCCTGGAAGAGAAGCTTCCTGTCTGGCACTAGCCCCAAGGTTAGGGGGCTAAGGGGAGGCAATGAGGCCACAGGACCTGTTCAAAGGGGCTAATGGAGAGTCAGACCAGGCCGGTGTGAGGGGTGCAGAGACACTGCTAGAAGCATGGGGCCTGTGGGAGAGAGGTGCCTTCCAACAATGCTCTGTGCACACCTCTCTTCAGTTACCCTCGGAAAGCAGAAATCAGGAAAGGGTGGAGGGAGGGAGGGTGCGGGGAGGGAGGGAGGGTACAGCGAAGGGTGCAGGGAGTTCAGGGACTGAGATGTCACTTACCCTCACACTTGGATGTCCTGGACCTTCCTAAATGACTCAGTGTCACACACATGTAGGCAGAACCCCAATTCTGAGTCCTTTGGGTCCTGGAACAGGATGTTGACCACACCAGCTTAGCCTCCAGGTGGGAGCTGGATTCGTGTTAAAACTGCCCAAGGGTTTTCAAGACCCAGGTTACGTACAGCGCGGGGGTAAAGGGGGTGGGGGTAACGACATGCACATGGGACCACGAGACCTGGACTCCAAGGTCGCAAATGTCGCCAACTGAAGAGGGTGGGGACTTGCAAACTGGCCAGGTCAGGGTACCAGAGCCCCCAGCGCAGGGCTGGGTGCAGGCTGGGAACCAGGGCCGCAGGGGTGGAGCCGGTCCCGCTGGGTTTCCCAGCAGAGCCAGAGCTGGCGCACCTCGTCCGCTGGGTGCGCGGGATCGCAGAAGGGGCGGCCGCCACGATAGGGGGGGTTCTGTCCCCTCTGAGGGAGAATGAGGAGACTGGGGGGGTCGGGTGAGCCTGGCTAACTCCCCGAGGCTCCTCCCGCGCCCGCTTCTCGGCTCCCTGGGATTTGCTCCTTCCGGGCACCGCTGGAATCAGTTTGCCCGGGACCCCTCAGACAGGCACGGCCAGGACAGTCCCGAGGGGCGCGGCTAGGGCAAAAGGGAGGCTTCGGACTGCTCCCACCTGGAAGCCGGACGCCCGTCCGGTTCGCGACGCATCCAGCCTTGGAGGTGCCGCGCTCCCAGGCGGCCGAGGCTCCCGGAGGCGCAGGACCCGAACCCAGCGCCCCGCCTGCCCGGGCGCAGCGGCCTCCGGCTCCTCGCGGCCATCCCAGCCCCCGAGCGAAGCCGGGGTGCGGCCCAGCCCTCCCCGCCCACCCGGGGCGGAACGGAGGCGGAGCCTGCACCGGCTGGAGCCCCCGACGACGGTGGGCGGGGCGAGGCAGACCCCGCCGCGGGATAAGAGAGCCGGCAGCGCCGCGAAGCCGGACTGGAGCGTTCCCGGACCTCGGCGCCGAAGCCCTGCACCGAGCCAAGGCCCCTCCGGAGGCAGGTGAGGACCGGGGTGTCCGCGCACCCCGGCGGTGACATCTCCATCCCCTGACCCACCCTGACCCTGGACAGCGCGGTGACGGGGCGAGGGGCAGGAACCGTCAGGGTTCCGCATCCCTGGGACGGATCTGTCTCCGAAAGCCGCCAGCAGCCAGGGCTTTGCGGCTCCGCGGTGGAGTGCAAACCCCTAAATAAAGCCTTCGGGGCTGAGAGGCGTGTGCTCGCGCCTGTCCTCGGAGCACAGCTACCCAGGCTCAAGACCTTGTCCACGGGGGGGGGGCTGCGCTTCCCAGGGGACGTGGCTGTCTGTGGCTGCGGCTGGACCCTCGGTGTTGGACCTTTGAGTGGCCGGAACTTGAAGGAAGCGCACCCTTTGGGGGTGATTGCTCGACATGCCAAGCGCTGCATCTTCCACGGGTTTTCACCTGTGAGATGGGGCTGAGCCCAGGTTAGGACGGGACCCTTGGCTTAAGGGTCACCTGATTCTTGGTCCTTCTGGAGAAGATGCTTTCTCTGCCCAAACCTCGTCTCAGAGCCCCCGTTGAATGCCATGGGCTTGTTCCAGGTGCTGAGGTCGGGTAAGCCAATGCCTTGGTGCCTGTGGTCTAGAAGAGGGCATGGAACAAAGGACCTGGGGTCCCGGGTCTGCTCCCACTCTTCTCCCAACCCTCCTACTGCTGTGCTCTCACTCCCCTCCCTGGCTGCTGAAACCCCTTTGGCCAGTTTTTGACAGATTAGGAGTAGCCATCTGGGTTTGTCACCAGGGTGACAAGGCCACAGAGAAGTTGTGCATAAAATAACTTCTGTAGGAGTTTTTGTCTGCTGATGCAGAGAAGTCACCCCATCAGAGCAGCCACGCAGCTGTTCTGCTCCCATCAGTTCTGTGTGTCTGTGTTCAATGGAAACTGGCCGTCACTGGGTGTTGAACGCTGCTGCCTCCCCTGCCCGGTGACCTAAGCTCTGCGGAAGCCTCAGAGATGCTTCTCTGGCAGCTGCTGATAGTAAAGCAGTGGTGCATCCCTCCCTGGGGGACATTCTGTAGCTCTCCATCCGCTCAGGGGCCATGAGAAGCCATGGGCAGAGTGGGCAGTGCATATTCTCCTTGGAGAAATTGGTGGCAGTTTGCTTTAAACTTTAAAGCTGTTACTGTGGCTGAGTTCCGTTATGTTCATTTTGCTTTGTATTGTATTACTAAGTATAGGGAAAACTATTCACCCTTACTAAGACAGGCTGTGGAATGGAGTGCTGTTGGAATGGTGTGAAATTGCTCCCTGGGAATGTGGAGCAGTGCAGGTAACACCTGGGATTGTTATTAGAAAGCAAATTAGGGATCACATAAGCCTGTGCTTGATGGCAGTGAGGGCTTTGGGGAAAAGGAATCCCAAGAGTGTTTGTCTCTGGCCGCCACAGCCAGTCTCCCATTCCTGAATGAGCTTCTCCCAATGCCCCCCAGCTCTCCTCCAACCTGGCTGTGGCATCTTGGGTACTGGGACAACCTAGGTTTCTGTGCCCAACCAGGCACCCTGCAGACCTGGCTACTGCATTGCTGGGTTATTTTTGTTTTTGCTTTTGTTTTGTTTTGTTTATGTTAGCTCAAGACCAAGAGGAAAAAGTGGAACTCCTGGGCTCCGGTCGGTCTGCCGATGAGTAAAAGCAAATGCTCCGTGGGACCCATGTCCTCCGTGGTGGCCCCAGCTAAAGAGCTCAACGCTATGGGCCCCAGGGAAGTGGAGCTCATACTGGTCAAGGAGCAGAACGGAGTGCAGCTCACAAACTCCACCCTCATCAACCCGCCACAGACACCCACAGAGGCCCAAGAGCGGGAGACCTGGAGCAAGAAAATCGACTTCCTGCTCTCAGTCATCGGCTTTGCGGTGGACCTGGCCAATGTCTGGAGGTTCCCCTACCTGTGCTATAAAAATGGTGGAGGTGAGTGCTGCCTGGGCTCCTGTGCCTTCTGGGGCTGGGACTATGGCAGGGGAGGCCAGGGAGGCAGAAGAGGCAGTGGGGGCCACTGAACAATGGGGTTGTGCTCTCAAGAAATGCTCACAGAGAGAGGGGCTGGAGAGATGGCTCAGCAGTTAAGAACACTGTTCTTGCAGGAGACCCGGGTTCGAATCCCAGCAACCACACGGCTGCTGACAACTGTCCGTAACTCCACTTTCAGGGGATCCGACAGCCTCTTCTGTCCCCCGTGGGTGCCGCACGACATGGGTGCACTCACCTACATGCAGGCAGTACACGCATACACATAAAATAAAAATAATAAAATATAAAACAAAGAAATGCTCACAGTAAGAGCTGGGGAGATAAGTAAGGTGCTTGCTGTGCATACGTGAAGACTGGTGTTCAATCTCCAGAACCAAAATAAAAAAGTAGGGCATGGTGGTGCACACCTGTAATCCTAGTTCTGGGGACTCAAACACACGTAGACCCCTGGGGCTTCATGGCCATCTGACTAGCTTACTCAGGGAGCACCAAGCCAATGGACAGGCCCTGTCTCAGTAAACAAGGTGGGTAGTTAGAATGACATCCAAAGACGGCCTCTGACCTCCATATCATGTACGCGCGCGCGCACACACACACACACACACACACACACACACACTCGATGGTGGGGCTGTTTCACCAGGATTAGTGCATTGCAGGCTTTCCCAGCTGGAGAGCTCAGAGAACATCTAAGAGCAGAGGCACAAGGAGCCTGGACAACAGAAGGGGAAGGGAGCGAGCGGAGGCACCAGGTTCCTGACTTCCCTTTTGACTGGAAAGAAAATTCTCAAAGACCAAAAGAATAGAATAGCGTCTTTAGTCAACTTCAGCGGCGCTTACAAAGTTCTGTGCAGTTTCAGGTTGAACTCGGAAGGGCAGAAAACACCCCTGAAATGCTCCTGTCTTCACTACCTCAACCCTCACTTTCTGTCTTTCTTTCTTCTATTTTTTAATGTAATACTGGGAATTGAAGCCAGCACCTTGTGCATGCTAGTAAGCACTCATCACTGAACCACGTCCCTAGTGTTCTCTCTCTCTCTCTCTCTCTCTCTCTCTCTCTCTCTCTCTCTCTAAATTTCGAATCAGGGTCTCACACTGCTTTCTAGGCTAGCCTTGAACTCAGTCTGTAGAGGAGGCCAGGCTTGAACTTATGATCTTCCTGCCTACACCTCTAGAATAGCTGGGATTATGGGCTTGTGCCTCCAGGCCTGGCTTCCCCACTTTCTGACCTCAGCCATAGCTGTACATCAGAGTCGGAAAAGGAGTCGACAATAGGGTTACCAGGAGAATTCGAGTTAAGGCCCAGAAGCCCTTCCGTTTCCATGGCCTTGTCTCCCTAACTGGCTGCAGGGGGTACAGAAATGCTTAGGGAAAGGTATCGTGCACACCCATGAACCAGCAGCCTCATTATACCCTCTTGAAGGTGATAGGTTCAAGACCTTAGCAGGTCCAGTAAGTTATCTAAAAACACAACTGAAGGGTCTCCCTGCCTCCCCAGCCCAATCATAAAAGAGTGTTAAGGCCTAGCTCTGCTTCACTCAAGGTCAGATTGGGGAGGAGCAAAAGGACTCAGGAGGCCCCTGATCTGTGTGGCTTAGGGGACGAGTTATAGGAGGACCAGGCCTATGCTCCAGCTCTGGGCTGCTCCTGGAAACAGAAACTTAGCTATGGCCCCTGGAGAGGCAAGCTTTACATGCCAGAACCCCAAGAAGGAGGAAGACCCCAGTTAGGTCACAGATCCCAGGAACACAACACTCCAGGGGCAAAGAGGATCAAGACAAGGTGAGGCAGGGCCTGAAGGAGGAACAGTGCTAGGAGGAAGGTTGAGAAGTGGCCACAAGGCCTTGACTGCCTTACTCTCGGGTTGAGCTCATGACATGGGGCAAGGGACAGCCAGCGGCTTTAGGTGGACATGCAGACCTTCACAGCCACCAGGACAGGAATGGAGGTAGAGTTCACCACGCCAGCCAGGACATCCTCTTGGGTGGTGGCTGTGTAGGAAACCTCCTGCTCTAGACAGGCAGCTGGGTGAAAAGGCTGTGCCCAAGCCTGGAACAGCAGATGTCAATAGTGAAGGTGATCGCCTTCTGTGGCCCCCAATCTTAAGCTGCTGTCCTGTGCACAGGTGCTTTCCTGGTGCCCTACCTGCTCTTCATGGTCATCGCTGGGATGCCACTCTTCTACATGGAGCTGGCCCTTGGGCAGTTCAACAGGGAAGGGGCCGCTGGTGTCTGGAAGATCTGCCCTATCCTGAAAGGTAACACACACAGGGACATGGCCTCCACAAGGCATGGTCATGGCTCTGGGGCTTTCAGAGTAAATTGACCACGTTGTATGCAGGTCCCGCTTCCCTAAGCCATGTGGGCATTTGTACATGTCATTTTTACCTGGGTCCTACCTTAAAGACTGTAATGACCAAGAATCTTCGCGAACATTCCCTTCTCCACAGGCCTTGAAACTAAGTGGTGGTATTTTGTTAGGGTGTTAAAATAATAAGATAAGACATCTACCTGTCTATCATTTGTCCTACATATCTGTGTCCCATCAATCTAGCACCTCTCTGTGCATCATCTACCAACCTCCTGTCTGTCTGTCATCTATGTGACCATCATTTTTCTACTATCTAACCCATTACCCACTCAGCTATCTATCGTCTGTCTACTTATCACCTATATGTATGTCCATCTGTACATATACCAATCATCCACGAATATCATTCATCTATCTAATTCATCTATCTATCATTCATCTATCAATCATGAATCTATTACTCGTCTTCCTGGTTCATTGAGCCCCAAGACTGCTGATACAAGGCTTCAGTGCTGTGAGGCAGATGCATCTCACACTGAGCCCAAGTGACCTGCCTGGTGGCTGACTCTCCTCAGATGTCACCTCCCTCATCCCCAGGAAAGTCCAGAGAGGGCACACTGTGCTCTCTGATGCTGATGAGGAGAAAAGTTCTAAGTACTTCCTCTGTGTCATGGAAGCAAAGCCTGGTTCTACCCCAGCCCTGTTTAACCATTGTCAGGCCACAGGACACATTTGCCTCCCAGCAGCTAGAGTTCCAGGAGGCTTCAGGGCTCTTCTTGGAAGAGACAAAGCGAGGTTTCCTTCAGATAGTTGCCACCTGCTAAGAAAATGACTCCTGAAAGACCAGCATGTGGGTTTTCTCAGAAGTATTTGAGCAGCAGTTGTGTGGGAGAAAGCAAAGCTCCGGTCCTCAGGCACTGTCAGTGCACCAGCGGTCAGCACCCAGGACCAGCGCCTGCTGCTTTGTGTAGGACAAGAGGGCTTCTCACGGCTGCTCAGGCTGTGTTCTGTATGGATATGTAGCCTGTATACAGTGGAGATGTGAAATGCAGGGGCTGGAAGGAAAAGACGGCAGGACACCAGCTCTTTCCGGCTTCAGCGTCTAGTGAGCAACAAGATGGTAGCAGGTTCTTCCGAGGCCAAAACGATTTTCTGGACCACACCAAAGTGGAATTATGCAAAGAGAGACCTCCCTACGGCCATCCCAGCCATGCACACCTTCGGAGTGAGACTGGGCTCCTGGGGACACATATTGACACTGGACATACCCCATTGGCTCTAAATAAAGGAGTTAGCTCTTAGAACTGTCTGAGACTGTCTGCCTCCATCCCTGGTTTCTGATGGAGGACTACTGTGGTTCCTAGGGACCCTGGGACTCTCAGAGATAGTTGTATCAAAGTGGAATTTCATTGTCCATTTACTGTACAAACTATTTAGTCAAGGTTGGAAGACTCAACCTAAGATGCAAAGAAATAACCCGTGTCCTCCTGGGCTCTGCCCAGTGTTGTCATCGTTACTGGGGAATGGATGCCATTTCTGAAGCTGTGTCCTGGGTCAGCTTCAGTTGAGCTTGGCATTCGGGTGGCAGCTAAGGGCTGAGTTGAAGACCCAGTCTGCCCATCCTTTTGTGGAGGACGTGTCCAGGACTGGTGGCCACATGCAGACAGTTTGCTGTGCTAGATTTTCCAGGCTTGTGCCCCTTTGACTGTGGAGTATGCCCTAAGTTTTCCAGAAGGCAACTGACCCTGTGCCTCAATCCCCACTGGGGCGGGGGGGGTTGCACAAGGACTGAAAAGACCAGCTGGAGACAAGAGGGGGCAGACTCAGCCTGGGATTGTGACTATCAGAGGGAAACTAGTTACCTCTCACCTGGACCTCACACCTCAGTTTTCCAGCAGTAGCCCAGCATTGAAAACACCTGCAGTCCCAGCAGGAAGGAGGCTGAGACAGGAGGATTGAAAATTCTAGGTTAACCTGATCAGCATAAAAGATTATCTCAAAAAAAAAATTCTTCATCAAAACCACCAAAGCAAATTTTTTATTTTGAAGTTTGTAAAATGTCAGTAAGCAATTTCTAAGAGCTTCGAGGTACTACACATGCTAACAACTTGGCTTGGGGTACAGAGGGGTCCAGCGGGCATATGGATACCTTTGTGTCACCAAAGACAAACCACATTGTTCACGTGTTGTGGAAACACCACAGCCATATTACATCAAGGTATTGGAGAGCAGAGCTCAGCCACCTTCCTAGGAAACCATTTTCCTCACCCAGCAGTTGGGGCAGCTGGGCAGAGAGAGAGGGGAATAGAGCCCTCCAGCAAGAAGTACCTCTGTACTCTTGTGTGTGCTCTCTGGCCCTGCGAGCCCATTTACCCTGGAAGCCACATCGGCTGGTGGCAGACTTCTCATTCCATCCTGAAGGATGGTATTCTCGTCAGTCTCTTGTAAAGATGGAAGACCCCCACCACAGACAAAAGAGGAGGGCCGTCATCAGCTTTCTTCAAACTCTGCACTGGCCTCTACCCTAGTGTTTGATCAAGCTGAGGACCTCAGATACAGAAGTTTCTTTCTTTTTGTTGGTCTTTCAGGGTCTCCCTGTAGTCCCAGCTGGCCTGGAATTTTCTATGTAGACCAGGCTGGCCTTGAACTCTCAGAGATCTGCCTGCCTCTGCCTCCCAAGTTTGGGGAGGATTAAAGACGTGCGCCACCATGCCTGGCAGATACAGAAGTTTCAAAACTGAAAAGTTTAGAATGGAGCATCCATCCATCATCTGCCACCTTCCAAGGAAAACCTTCCATCATGACATTTGGAAGAGCATGGATTCTGGCAGCATGGCTTCCCAACATGGCTGTCTGCATGAGTTCACTGAATCACAACTTCCTCCTAAGGAGCCTGGTGAATGGAACTGAAATGTAGAGTTGTTTGATCTTGAGCAATTCGACATAGGAGAAAGCTTTCCAGGGAAGCCGTTTGGACTTTGCCATCCCTGCTTCTGAGTACACTGAAGGCAGGTGACTGACTCTCCTAACGCTGGGCCTGACACCGACGCATTTTAGAACCTTCACTTCGCCTTCAAGGAGATAAAAGAACTTAGTGATACGTTGAGTGTGAAAATCGCTTCTCCAACACTGTCAAAAGTAACCTAAGCCAATCTGCAGAAGTCACCCTTAAGTCATACTCCTCCCCAAGCACCAGGCAGACCAGAAAAGACACAGAGCCCAACCAGATTTTAATGAAGTCAGTTAAGTTACAGACCAAAACAATTCTATCTGCAAGGCTTGGAAGGAAGCTTGTCTAGCAGCGCTCAAGGGGCACGGAGGAGCCCTCGACCCGTGCAGGGAGCCTTGAACTGTCTTACTATCTACCCACTGCTCAGGATAGCTTGCTCTGAGGACTGCTCACCCCTGAGTTCTCTGCTACAGTTCAAAGGACACACACAAAATGGCTAAATTTGTAATGCCAGGTTACAGGTTTTGTGGTCCTGGAAAAGAGCTCTCTGGAAGACTGTGTAGCCCAAGGTAACCCCAAGTAGTTAAGTATGGACCTATATTTCTGATGGAGGACTACTAAGAAGTCCTAGGTGGTCTCATATGCCCCGAGTGACCCTCAATGGTCCTGTTTTGCTCTCACTGACCTTTGGAACCTCTGGGTAGTCATGTATTGCCCTGGGAGACCCTGGATGGTCTTATATGCAAGGAGGGCTGGAAGGCCCTAGGTGTCTATGAATACCCCAGGTGACTCTGTTGATCTTGGATGGTCTTAGGAGAAGGGCAAGGATGGTTATCAGCAGCCCTGAGTGAGCTTGGGTGAATCTGGGTAGCCCTAACAGGCACAGACAAAGGCTACGGGTGGCCCATATGACTCCGGATGGCCCCGGATTTCTCTGGCTAATCGTGGACAGTCTTGTTTAGCATTTGATAGTTTTGACTGAATTTTGGTTGCTGTGGATGGCCATAAAGGGCCCCAGTTGTCTCTTGGGGATTTTTGGTGGGTATGGATGGTTCTGGGAGACACTGGGCATTCCTGAGTGGCCTTTTGGATGGCCTGGGCATTTTAAATGGTCCTTGATGGCCCTGGGTGTCTGGGGATGATTCAGTGATTTGGTACCAGCCTAGTAGCCATAGAAAACCATGGCTTGGCTGCCCTAGGTGATACAGGGTAGTCTTAGATGACCCTGGATGAATCTGAATGACCCTGGCCACCCCTGAGTAGCTGTGGTGCAATGACTATCCCTTTCTCACTCTGTGTGTCTTTGAGTGACCCTGGATCATCTAGTACATAAGTGGCTGTCCCTAGGGGACCCTGAATGTACCAGGGTGGTCAGTGACCTTGACTGGCCTTGCTGGCCCTCACTGTCCATCTGAAACATCTGATGTCTCTGGTAGATAGAGACGACTTTGGAAGGTGTCCGTTTCTCTGCATAGTTACAGCCTAAGGTCTGGCATCGGTCCTCCCTGTGCATGTCAAGGTGTTGTGGGGCACAAAGGATGTGAGGGCACCAGCTCAGGGTGAGTGAGGTGGGGGCATGCTGCTGACGGTGGCTCTGCTGTCACCCACAGGTGTGGGCTTCACCGTCATCCTCATCTCCTTCTACGTGGGCTTCTTCTACAACGTCATCATCGCGTGGGCACTGCACTACTTCTTCTCCTCTTTCACCATGGATCTCCCATGGATCCACTGCAACCACACCTGGAACAGCCCCAACTGCTCTGACGCCCACATAGGCAACTCCAGCGATGGCCTGGGTCTCAACGATACCTTTGGGACCACACCCGCGGCTGAGTACTTTGAGTAAGTAGGAGTTCAGCTCTTTCTGTCTGCTTTGAGAATGGGAAGAATGACAGGATTGGGACACTCAGAGCAGCCCCCAGGGCATTACCCCAGCAATTTGCTCTCAAAGGTACGCTAAACAGCCCCTTCCCTTGCTCAAAGCTGCTGAATCCTGCTCCTTTCTAGTCTTAAGAAATATGCTTCTGAGTCCCACAGTGATGGTCTCATAGATCCTTGACCAAGTTCTCATGATGGAGGCCTCAGGAGCAATAGACCCTGAACCATTGTCCACCTGCTCCATCCTGCTCCTGAAGTGGGGTGGGGGGAGACCATCCAGGGCCTCCCAGGGCAATGCATGACTACCCAGGGGTTCTAAGGGTCAATCACTGCAGTACTGCATGAAAGAAAAGGGAGCTCTGGCCTCTGACTACCAGGGCACAGGGCACCGAGTGGGCAAGCCTGGCCCACGTTCTGCCCAGCCCTTCCTGTCCTTCCCCTGCACCTTGGCTGGGGCCTCTCTGAGTATCACTGGGTGCCTGGCTTCACAGACAGGCTGCCTATAAGGTGCAACGGCTGTCTCTTTATCATGAAGTTTTCTCTTTTGCAAGCATGACTTTAGTTCCTTCCTGTGTATCTTTCTTTCATGCACAGTGCCCTCCATCCTTCTCCAACCCCAGTGCGTTCTTGTATCCAGCAGGCCTTCTGAGTTTCTGCTCCTTGCCAGGGTATCCCCTTCCAGGCCAGAAGGCCTGGCCTGCAGGTGGATGGTAGAAAGCCCTCTTCTGGAATGTGTTTTCCTGAGTCCTTCTGTCTCTTGTCAACTCCTGTGTCCCCTCCTGCATCACGAGGTGGCCTAACCTGACAGGGCTGTGACACCCACCTCATGGTTCCACCACTGACCCTTCTTGGAGTCCAGGTGTATGTGCACGTGTGTATGCATGTGTATGTGTGCTCGTGTGTGTGTGTACATGTGTATGTGTGTATGTAAATGATCTCCATGGGGAGCCACACTGTGAGGTGATGCCTTCCTCTGTGTGATTTTAAAGATGGTAACCACAGAGATGTAATTTTATAGATGGGCCAGGGGCCTGGCTCCTGTGTGGGGCTATGGAGCTGCCCTGCCTCTCATGGTGCTGGCTGGTCCACTCTCACCGAAGCAGAGACTTCTGAAATGTGGCATCTGTGACAGACATGAGCAAAGGGCATTTGCAGCAACCGTCACAGTCAGGATTTCCCACGGATGCTGATGTTCTTTGTGGGGACTGAACTCTCACTGGCCTTATGGATAGACCCTGATCATGACTACATATGTGAGTCCACTTACCACTCAGCAAAAGCTAGAGTTGGACTCATGCCTGTGATCCCAGTACTTAAAAGGCGGAGGCAGGAGGATTGCAAGTTCAAAGCCAGCCTGGACTACAGAGAGAGATCCTATCTCAAAAAGACACAAAACCTTAGCAGAAGGGGTTTTGACTAATAGAAATAAACACTTCAGGCTTTAACAGCAAGCAGGTCTGTTTACACAACTGTGTCCCACCATTAAAGTGTAGAAGGGGGTACTCAGAGGCGGCACTGAGACTCTGGGAAGGTAAACAGAAGCTCCACCGTGGCTATTTAGATAGGTGCTTTCGTATAACAAGCAAACAAGAAATGAAAGCTCTCAGACAATGCTTCTGCTATGTATGGAAGTAGATGTTAACACATTCCTAAGGCCTGTTCACGACTACTTAGAACTCTAAAGAGAGCAAGGCCCCGGCCTTACATGTACTTGCCGTGTGTCTCCACCCAGAGGGACCTGTGAAGGCATGAGGATTTGGGACCACATAGTGCCGGAGGACACGGGCTTCACGGTTGCAGTCTTCAGGAGTGACACATCTGTCTGTGGCACTGAGGGAAAGAAAGCTAAGAGCCAGACTCACACTTGAGCTAGAGTTAGTTTATCATTAAGAAAAAGTTGACTAAGTTTTTGAGCTCCTGTATCTTTTACAATTGTCAGGTAGACTGCAGAACATTTGGAAAGAGCAGAGATGTTGTGGGGCTGGAGGACTACCTGGCTTCTCCTTAGGAGATGTGGAGAGTATTGTTCATCCGAGCAATTTTCAAAGAAAATTAGAGGGAAAGTACACTTAGTGTAGGGGTTCGTGCTGAGGAATGCTGGAGGAAAGAATATATGTTATTGTTTAGCACTCAGGCTCTAGGGGGCTGGAGAGGTGGCTCAGCAGTTAAGAGCACTGACTGCTCTTGCAGAGGACCTGGGTCCAATTCCCAGCACTCATATAGCAGCAAACAACCATCCATAACTGCAGTTCCAGGGGATCTGACACCTTCCTCTGACCTCTGCAGGCATTGCACGACACAGTTGCACTTACATACATGCAGGCAATACACTCATACACATAAAATTAAATTAAATTAAAAAATAAAAAACTCAGCCAGGCGTGGTGGTACCCACCTTTAATCCCAGCACTTGGGAGGCAGAGGCAGACAGATCTTTGTGAGTTCAAGGCCAGCCTGGTCTACATAGTGAGTTCCAGGACAGCTAGGGCTACAGAGAGACACCGTCTCAAAAAGACAAAAATAAAATAAAAAAACTCAGGCTATAGAAGTCTGGGAATCTCAGTCTGGAAGGGAGGCCACAGAGCAGAGGTGTGAAGACCAAGCCAGCCAGGGCTGTGTCCTGCCCTGTGTCCATCTGTGGGTAGCAATCCCACCTCCTTCCTATACAGTGCATGATGCCACATGATGGATTTGATCACTAAGATGTTAGCAGGAATAGGTGTGAAGAGACAGCAAAATGCTCCTCAGCTGCACCATTGAAGAGTAACAGCCAGGCCTTGGTGGGACACCAAACACTGGTCACATCTCCCTGGGCTCCAACTCCACAGGGACAGCGTCTAGGATAAAGCATGCCCCCCAGTCACAGCAAACTCTACATGCAGAGCTGGATACTGTGCCTGCAGCCAGTCAGCCCCCATCTGCCAGGGCTATTGATGAAAAGGATAGCACAGACGGACGGGTCCCAGGTAGCCACCCCGTACAGCAGCTTCCCTCCTGGGCAGCAGTCAGCAGATATAAGTGATAGAAACTGCTTCTGGAGAGAGCTAGAAGGAAGTGCTCACTGTGGGAGCCTGGACTCTAGAGACTGCCACTTGGCTAACTCAGTTACTTCTCTATTCAGTGATTCTTAAGCCCATTTATCTCTCACTTCTTTTGAGGTGTGGCAGCCCAGGGCTAGGTATGGACTCTACCACAGTTACAACCCCAGTCATTCTTGATTCGTTCTATTTGTTTAGCATCAGCGCTCTACAGCTGCTGGCTGATCCTTCTGCATCCCCTTCCCAGTTTTGGGATGCAGGCATGAACTCTTTTTATAAATCCAAATGTTTCTGTCCTGTGGTTTGTGCTTGCTTCCCCACTCATTCTCTCTTACCGACATCCCTCCAGGGTCCATTCTTTTAAAAAAATATATGTATTTATTATTTTTATTTTATTTTTTATGTGTATGAGTATATTGCCTGCATGTATGTAAGTGCACCCAGGTCGTGCAAGGCCCACAGAGGTCAGAAGATGGTGTCAGATCCCCTGGAACTGGAATTACGGACCCTTGTTAGCCACCATGTGGGAGCTGAACCCAGGTCCTCTGCAAGAGCAGCCAGTGCTTTTAACCACCTAGACATCTCTCCAGCCCAGGGTCCATTCTTAATGGGCATGAATTTAAAAACTATTACAGGCTCCAAGCAGAGACACAAGTTCAGTGCTGTGACGCTCATGGTTGTGATAAGACATTGTATACACTTGAGATATGAAACTGAGGTCAAGAAAACTGGGCCTTAGCACCCCCAACAGGCCCATGAAACTCCAATCACTTAAGATCCCCCCGATTCCATAAACACTCAATACCACCTTCATCTACTTTCTAAAACAAATGATTAGAAAGTTAGAAATTTAAAGCTATAAATTTGCTTCTAACAGACTGCTGTGCTGCAGCTCACATTTTAGACACTTGTTTTTTATTTTAAATTATTTGGGTTTATAGCTATGTTTTTCATCAATTTCTTATTTAATTTTCATGACATGTTTATAAATTTTACTTATAAAATTAAATACGTTAATGCTTACTGAGGATGTTTTATGGCCCTACTATGTGTCTCTGTTGATGTATATTCTGTGTGCCTTCCCACCAGGCTTCAAGATACGTGCCCCTGGTCCCTCACTTGGGAGGTAGAAGGTTCACTTGTGCTCAGGAATTTAAGGCCAGCCTGGGCAGCGTAGAACATTACGAGAATGCCAACTGTTCATGCCTGTGTCATTCGGGTCAGAACTTCTTTGGTAATTTTCTGTCTACTTGTTAAATCAGTGACTGAGACATGGGCTTTGAAATCTCATTTATAATTGTGACTTTATCTGTTTCTCTTCATAATTCTATTAGTTATTGCTCCATCTGGGTTTGAAGCTTGGGTGTTTTATTACATTGTAGTGTGTGTGTGTGTGTGTGTGTGTGTGTGTGTGTGTGTGTGTGTGTGAACAGGCCATGATGTGCATGTGGAGGTCCGAGGACAACTTGTGGGAGCCCGTTCTCTCCTTGGTGGCAAGCACTGTTACTCTCTGAGCTGTCTCGCTGGCCCTGATGTTTGGGTGTTTTGAAATCCACATGTTTGTGAATATTAAGCCTCCACCGTGCCCCTTTCCCATCAGGGAATGTCCCCCTTGGCCATATTCCTCCTTGTGAAGTCCACTGTGTCTAGTATTAGCATATCTGTCCCCTTTATAATAAGTTGCAAGATAGAGCTGTTCCATCCTTTGGTCCTCCTTCTTAAAGCAGTTCATTCTTAACCTTGCATTATCTGCACTGTCAGATAATAAGCTGTAGCGCATCCATTTATAGTAGATATTAGTAACGGCGTTTGTTTTGACTTACCGTCGGCCCCTTGATGGTTTTGCCCACATCACACTCCTGTCAGAGCCCACCGGGCTCTCATCATCTGTCTTTGCTGTGATTGTCATGATTATTGGTGCAGGTC